GCATCTTGTGAAGCAGCAGCATCTTGTGAAGCAGCAGCAGCATCTTGTGAAGCAGCAGCAGCATCTTGTGAAGCAGCAGCTCTTCTGGCCAATCAACCTCCTGCTTATCAAGATGTTTTCTGATCCACAAACTTCCTGTCTCTGAAACCTCAGTGAAACTGGCGCCGCCTCCCTCCTTCCTCTGCCGGCTGGCCCCTCCCCCGCCTGCTGCTGCTGCTGAGTGCCACGGTGTCGCAGCAGTTCAGGGCGAGCGGAGAACAGGTGAGTTAGTGCTGCTGCATGGAGACGATGCTGCCTGGCTGGACGAGCGTCCTGATGCTGCTGCTGCTGCAGGTGGCCGGGAGCCGGGCCCAGAGCGGGGACCGCGACCCGGACTCAGGTGAGACCCACTGGACCCGGCTGGGCCGAACAGAACCAGACCGCTGGGTCAGAAACACACAGGAACATCTGCTGTCTGCGGCAGGAAGGACCTGAGAGAAACTCTGGTTCTGGTTCCAGACATGGAGAAGCAGCTTCCATCTTATCTAGAACAAACTGAAAAACAGCTGAAACCCTGACCTCCTTTAAATCAGACCAAAGCAGCCGATCAGCAGATCAAATGTTTGATGTTCACTGAATCGTTTGTTTCTGGTTTCTGAGCGATGGTCTGTCACGTTTCATCTTTATGACGTAAAGCAGCCAAGCTGCCTGCTGCTGAATCAAACATAAATAACTGTGGCTGGTTGAGGCAGAACTTTGACTGGTCCCCTGCTGTCTGTGGTTGTGGTTCTGCTTCCTGCCAGAACTGAGCCTCAGCTGCAGCTCTCATGTCAGCGTCCGGGCGAACAGCCTGACTTGCCATCTGCTGGGACGCCATAGAGACGAGGACGATGAGGACGATGAGGACAGAGACAGAGACCCCATCGACAAGATGATTGTCTGGTAAGGCTCTCTGCTCCGGTTTCTCCTGACGGAACCCACCAGCAGAACCTGACAGAACCTTCTGCTCGTCTCTGCAGCCAGGAGAGGAAGGAGAACAACAGAACGAAGCAGAAATGTGTGAGGGCTGATGGAGGCACGGTGAGCGGTCTGTGTCCAGTGACCGACGCCAACGTGACGGTCCACCGGCGGGGAGGAGGATGGCTTTCAGCCATCGTGCAGCTGCACAAGATCGGTGAGTCCAGAACTGGGCCGCGCCGGCCCACAACGCCGCAAAACGATTCACGAGTTTCAGCATCGAGGTGAAAAAGTTTCATATCCTAACCCCTTTACTCCGACACCCTGAAACAGAAACCAGAGCTGCTTCAGCGTTTCACTCATGCAGGCCCCCCACACTTTTCAGATTTAAATGTTTAAAACATTCAAACTTGTTTTCCTTCCTGTCTATAGTTCTGTTGGTCTGTTGCAAAAAATAAAATATTTAATTGATTTCAAACATGCAAAAACATAAAGAATCACATTTCCTGTGAAAAAGCAGCGAATGATTGAATGTTTGAGGAAAACTTCCAGAAATGAAATAAAAAACCAAGAAAAAAAACAGTCAACAAAACATCTGACAGAAAAACCCGACAGAGAAAAAACCCGACAGAGAAAAAACCCGACAGAGAAAAAACCCAACAGAGGAACCTCCTAACCTCCTGCTGACATGAAAAAATTTAAATCAACGACTAAACAGATTAAAACATATTAAAATACTGATCTCATGTTCAACAATCTAAACAGTGAAGACAGAAACAACCTCGACCCTAACGAAGCAACCCTGACCCTAACGAAGCAACCCTGACCCTAACGAAGCGACCCTGACCCTAACGAAGTGACCCTGACCCTAACAAAGCGACCCTGACCCTAACGAAGCGACCCTGACCCTAACGAAGCGACCCTGACCCTAACGAAGCGACCCTGACCCTGACCCTAACAAAGCGACCCTGACCCTAACGAAGCGACCCTGACCCTAACGAAGCGACCCTGACCCTAACGAAAGCACTTTGACAGTGAATTCTTGTGAACATTTCTTTCTGCCTCTCTGTGTTCCAGTGAAGCCCAAAAGTCCGTGGATTCTCAACGTGACGATGGATCCCGTGATGAACCGGGCTGTGATCTACTTCCAGATCCCCTACAGCAAAGACTACCTAAATCTGGACAACCAGATCTTCCAGCTCAACCTATGGACCAACGGCAGCAACATCGTATGGCCCTCAGCGCTACCAGAGAGTCTGACCTCTGACCTCTGCTGGATCTGACCTGCTGATCTCGTCCTGCAGATCCAGAATGTAACGTCTAAGAACTTCCTGCAGATCGACAGGCAGCACCTCCGTCAGGACTCTGAGTACCGGGTCAGGGTCCAGTCCATCCCTGCCAGCTCTCTGAAGGGAACCTGGAGCACCTGGAGCCCCGAGTTCTCCTTCCACACGCCGCCTGGTGAGAACATCGGACCTCCAGCAGCGTAGAGCTCTGAGCTGCAGCCACTGACATCATTTCCTGTCCCTCATCAGAGGAGAAGCCGCCGAGTCCCCATGAGATGGGGTGGACCGTCTCCGGACCCGTCCTGAGCTTCATGTCTGCGCTGGTGGTTCTGTTCAGCATCGTCATCGTCTGGAAGTCGGGGTAGGACCCAATGTCCGGCCGGAGCTTCAGGTGTGTCTCTGGTTCCTAACTTCCTGTTTCTCTCAGGATCTTGTCCTACATGTGGCCCAGCATCCCACACCCCAAGCAGGCGCTGGTCCAGATCTGCAAACCGAACAAGGTGACTTCCTGAACCAGCAGGTTCTGCTCACACCAGAACCCGCCTAACCGTCTGCTGCTCCCCAGGGCCTGCTGCTGGACCTCAACCCCGAGGTCTTCAGCCCCCTGCGAGTCCTGCCGCTGGAGAAGCCGCAGGCGGAGGAGGCGGAGCCGCACAGGAGGCCCACTGGGGCCGGGTCCGCCGCCGGGTCCCAATCCGGATCCCAGTCTGGATCCAGGTCCAGCTCCTCCCACAGCACCACTAGCAGCGCCTCCAGCGCCGGCACCGAGGAGCTGGAGATCTCAGCGCTGCTGAGCTGCTCGGACGGTGAGGACAGCGTCCCCAGCAGCGCCCCGTCCCCCGTCGACGTCCCGCGGCGCGGAGACGAGTCGCAGAACCTTCTGGCCCGGCGTGGCGGCCCGGGGCAGGAGGAGGCCTACGTCACCATGTCCAGCTTCTACCAGAGCCAGTAGCACAGCGCCACCAGCTGGAGGACCAGCGTCTCATCTGTCCTTCACATCTGACTCCCAAAGCTGGACTCATACGACCTTTGACCCTTCCTCAGGCATCTCTGTTCATTCTTCAGGGCTCCTCTCAGTATTTGACCTTTGACCTCATATAGCTGCTTCCTGACTGGACCCGGTCGGTGGGTCCCCAGTCCCCCAGAACCTGAGAACAACCAGTTCCTCTTACTGGTCCCAGCGCTCACATTCACACTAACAGGATGAGTCACATGGTCGACGGCAGCCAATCAGAGCCCAGCTTCTTCTCTGTCCCTGATTGGCTCAGGAAACGATTTTATTTTATCAGTTTGATTGAATATTACAGCCTGAATGAGGAGAATAAATAATTTAATTTGGAGAATAAAGTCATAATATTATCAGAATAAAGAGAAAAACCTGAGATATTATCAGATGTGAATCATCTGCAGGTTTTTATTTCTAGTCAATGTTTAAATCCTGTGACTGATAATCTGATGCTGATATGATAAAAACTTATAAACCCATAAAGATGATCCTCATTTTAACAAAGATAAAAAAAGTCTTTAAATGGAGGAACTGAAAAAATCATTCTGACAAAACGACAAATTTATTCTGTTATTACGGCTTTACTCTCATGTTATTATCATTATTATCATTATTATTATTATTATTATTATTATCATTATTATCATTATTATTATTATTATTATTATTATC